GACTTTATTCTGTATTTAATGTTTGCTCTGTATTTTCACCAATAATTATAAATCAATGTTGCACCGTCTTGCAGTTGACCACTGTATATAGCTGAAACTATGGCATTATCACTAGTGATCTTTATAAGCGCTTAGCCACTGCCCCTTTTTCAAGGGCTCTTTAGTAAAGAAAATGATTCTATACAGAACCATGAACACTCAAAGAACCCTTCGCATTATTAAAGGGTCCTTTGCACCATGAAAGAGTTCTTCAGATTGATGGAGAATGTGCTGTAGAGGGTTCTATATAAAACCTTTTTTGAAAGGGGTTCTATAAAGCACCAAAAAGGGTTCTCCTAATATGACAAACGTGACATCTAACAGAATGCCTAATCAAAGACTATGACTGTAATGACTGTTCATTTTACTTGCGTTGGTCATGGATTGTACTGATGTTATTTTCTTTTTGTGAAACAGGTGTACACCTTTAAATCAAGTAAATCCGAAGCAACACTTTTTTCAATGAAAACAGAGCCACGTGAAACAATATAACATGGTTTCCCTGCTGGCATACATGCAAGTTTTGTCTATAAACTATAAACTATTTTCTGGCCCTGAAAGGCCCAATCTTGCCACAGCTTAAAGAGCAGAAGCATACAATTGTCAATTGTATGCAAAGGTTTGGGCATTCCTGGTCAAATGACATGCTTTGTTGATTTTGAAAAATAAGTTAAACATCCTCTACAGAGAACACACTGTAGAAATTACTGTTTATTTGCAAAATTTAACATATGGGGGGGCGTTATGTGGCCTGTGCAAAAGTATATTGTTTGGTTTTTTTTTTTATATATTTTATACTATTTTATATAATTATATATTTTTGTTTTATGTTTTTTTTCAATATGTTACACTCAGGAAATAAAAAGCTGCACTACTATGCACTCGCTATATTCAAGTGTGTTCTGTGTAGAGGTGGGTAATCCAGGTCCAAAATGTAAAAAACCCTCCCCAGGATTTTATTCCAACTGCTTGACTTCTCTCATTTGCTCAAACCAGCAGCAAAGGTGTTCAGGCAGTTGGAACAAAATCCTGGGGAGGGTTTTTACTCTTTGGACCTGGATTACCCACCTCTAAGTTCTGTGTAGAGAACGTGTTCAATTTTTTCACTTCAAAAACAAAAGTATTCAAACTTTTGCATACAACTGTAGCTTCATACACAAAACCTTCGGCACTGTTACAAACTGGACGTGCGGATAGCTAATAAGAATGTAGCTGTCAAAATTGGGATAGTGGCCATCTTAGCATATGATACACATCAGCATACATGATATACATGTGTGTTCCTCTGTGGGTGGAGCATCTGAGACTACAAGTAGATGAACTACAGCAATGGGTATGAATACTCAGATAAATAAACAAACACATAATACATAAATAAGAAAAGAGAATAAGTGACAGAGAACAGCTCTCTGTTGCACTAAATACTAGCACTAGTGGTGAAAAGAGTGAGTAAGCAATGTTTATGAGAACAGGAAGGAGAAAAGGAAGGAGGGATGAGAGGGCTTGGAGAGAGGAGTGTGAAGGAGGGATGAAGAGAGGAGAGGTGATGGGTGATGTGAATTATTCATGGGTTGTGACCCAGCTGCATCATCCTGTGTCAGTCTCCATTTGCTCTTATAACCTCTATGAGGAGTTCATTCACACTCACACACATACACACACTTAAAGCGCAATTCCACCAATTTTTCAAAATTTCTGCATAATTCAAACACTGAGATGTAAACAAAGTCATTCAGAGTGGTTCACTGTAGAGAAACTGTCTGACTCGATTCTTCTTTACAGTTGTGGTGACACAAATCAGGGGTCACGATGTGTACAACACAAATATGGCCATTATATTTCTTACCATGCTACATTACTACATTACTACATTTTATTCACAACCAGTGAACCTTTGTGTGCCTTAAAAGTTTGCAAGTAATGTTGATGGTGAAAAAAAAAAGATTTCTTGGGGACTATTTTGCCTCATGACGCCCTGCATGTACCCCTCCACCATGAATGGACATTTTTTAATAACCATTTCCATGATTCCATTTTCCAAGATCTCCATGGTAAACCTAATGATTGAAACAACATCTTTAACAAAACTGCTCATATTCCTATTACTAAATTGTATTGGTATTTTATTATAAATAGAGTCACATTAAATTTATCAATAATCTTAACTTTAGCATTTGCATGCCTTAGTCAGTAAATATTACTTTAAGTTTTGCAAGCCAAGTCAGTACAATAATCTCATATGGATAGTCAGTGAAAGGTTTTTCTCTTTTAACCGTGTGATATGCTGTTGTGACTAACTTGGTCAATTTGGAATCTGCTTCACTGTTTATCTGTCTTACGCACATGTCCAGTGGTCCAGAAGCGTTAGTGGGTTGCAGTGTGAGAGACATGACACTCGAGTGTTTTCAGTTGTAGTTTCTACAATAAAGAACTACTTTTATCTGCCTTCCCTACAAACCTTACAGAACATCTCAGGTACAGAAGCATCAAAATCCCATGAAAACTGAGTTTTTCTTGAGGAAATGAAGCTGCGGGCAAGCTTTGCTTTGTATATACGCAATTTTTGCATGCCGAGGGTTTAAATAGTCAATTGAGTTGAGTTTGGCCTCAGTTATGTTGTTCTGTTAACTCACTGCACCCCCCACCACCAACATGTGTGCAAGTGATTTTTGGCATTTTACTTGCCCTGGGCAATCAGACAATCCTTGTTGTTGAACCCTCATTTTGTGTAATACCTTTCACTGAGGTGACTTTTAGAGATATTAAATGTTTTAGACGTTTGGTTCCTATCACCACTGCTCTGAACCATTTAGACTCAACCAAGAACGGTGTATTTTACAGATAACAGTCCACTGTAGATGCCTTGTAGATACTTAATTATCTTTCAAGTTACATTCAACAAAATTTCTACTAAATTGACCATAATTTTCTTTAACTCTAAACCTGACTCTAATCCTAACCCTAACCTTAACCTCAACCCAAAACCTAACCCAACCCTCACCCTGGTCCTAGCCCTAACCCTGGTCCAAATCCTAACCCCAACCCTACCACCCCAACAATTTGAACACTTGGTGATATGGTATAGTGGGTAACACCTCTGCCTTCTCCACTGTAGACTGATCTTCAATCCCCGACCTGGGTAAGCACCCAACACTATACCAATAAGAGTCCTTGGGCAAGACTCCTAACACTACCTTCACCTACCTGTGTGAAATGATCAAATTGTAAGTCGCTCTGGACAAGAGCATCTGGCAAATGCCGTAAATGTAAACATCTGTAGATAATCTATAGGAGACTATAGAGGACTATCCAAATTAAGTCACATCATAATTTTTACTACAAGCAAAAATATGTTCACTTTTTCTTTCTATAAGCAGTCAATATCCCATGGCCACCAATGTGCAAGAGCTTAAAGACTGACACAGGCTCATACATACTCATACACACACACCTGTAACCTCTCTGGCCTTTCATTCCCTTGAGACACCGACACCTGTCTGAAAATCAAACCAGCACAACAGCATCCCATCTGCCAAACATGCCTTCATCGCTTGTTTTCTCACTCATACACACACACACAAATGTACACACCTAAACACACGTCTTATTTTTATGTAAGATCAGTGTATGGGGTCGTACACATGTCCCATATATACTGTACTGTGCAAATGTCAGAGACCACTATTAATTTTATTTCATTTCCAGTCAAAATGGCCATTAAGTACAAGTTAGCCATTTATCTTTATTTCTTTACATGTCTTTACATTTATTACAGCCTCCATTCTTTTCAGATCACTTGCTTTCAGTTTTTCAAAGAAATCTGCAGGGATGTTTTTCCACATCTCCACAGTTCAGTCCTAGACGTTTTTTGCATTTCCTGCTTCTTACAATCCAAATAATCCTGAGTACACATTCAGTGATGTTGAGGTCTGGATTCTAGGGTGACCAGTCCATTGTTCTGAGAGCACCAGCAGCTTCTTTGTTTGACTTCTTTGTTCTTGTCTATTTCCTTTTCTCAGTGAGGGCTTCTTGACAGCTACACATCCTTACAGACTCATGTTATATTGTCTTCTCACAGTGGAGGGATGAACAGAAACACCTGTAGAGCTTGATTTTCTGACAGGGACAGTTTTGGTGTCTACCAGGTCTTGCATGGTTGTTAAAAGTCCCAATTTTTCTGTACCTTTTAAATTTTTTTTTTTAAACAGTTTTGGAAAGTATTTTTTTCCTCGCCATACATAAAATCCTCTCATATCTAATGTTCTCAGAAATATCTCCTTGTGCTTTATGTCTGTTTTGACTGGAAATTGAATAAATAAAGGGTAGTCTGTACAATGTACAGACTATGGTACTGTATATATGTCAGTATATGTATATATGTATATATTACATGCTATAATGCTAATGTGTCACATGTGTATTACATATATCACTGCTGTTGGGACAAAATTCCTTACCTCCATTTTTGACATAATTTGAAAAAAAGGCCGCCAGTTGCCTTATATGATGTGTCAAAATTTTGTGATGAATAGAAATCGTCTAAAACTACTTGGAAAAAATGATTTATCCAGTTACTTCTATTAAAAGTTAAGAACATTTTTCCTCATCCTGTAACGTTACCTTTTTGGAGATACAAGGTTTTGTTCTGACAGCAGCGATATGTAAGTACCTATAAGTAATCAAACATATTTTGTTGGCCCTGATCTTGTTGGTAAGTCATGCTGTTCTTTGGTTTTCCTATAAAGTTGGGAAATATCTGTGCTGAAAATGTACAAAAAATATGTACACATACAAACAATCATACATATTTTAATCCTATTCAGAAAAATGCTAGAAGGGGTAAATTTTGTACCCAGTACAAGGCCTGTTAGTCAGTGCAGAGATGTGAGCTCCAGGTCCCAGTTGCAGGTAAGAGCAGTGTGTACTGTGTATTTGTGTGGTGTGTGCTCCCTGAGACTCACCCACTGGAGTGTTCTCATAGATCAGCAGGTATGACTGGAAGAAGTAATTCTGGAACCGTGGAGGTTGGTTAAAGGCTGCAGGAGACAAAGCACAGATTAGTGATGTATAAGGTCAAAAAGAAACTTTCGGTAACACTTTCTATGAATGTCACGTTTGTAAGCATCTATAAACACATTTATAACATGTTATAATGCCTTCATACGGCATTATAAACATGATTATAAACATTCATAAAAATGAATTACACTGGATTACACTTTATAGCCATGTTTATTACACATTATGAATTGTTAATACAATGCATTATAAGTAGTGTTGATAACATGTTATACTGTCAGTGCCAAAGAAGTCAGTCCCAGCTTGGAGAGAGTAAAGTAAAGACAAATACCAAGCTAACGGTGGTGTACATTACCTTTCCCACACTGGGTAAAACACTGATGGCAGCTCTAGTTTAAACTCTGACATTTGAAGCCTGTAATGTGCTTTATTGTTTATGTTTTAGTGTTTCAGTAAATCCTTAAGTAAATACTTCAACTTGATGCCTCACTCTTAACACTGGAGGAGGCTTTAGTACAGTATGCTTCACTTTACTTAGAGCGGACAAATACGACTTATGAGCTCTTATAATTTGTTATGAACAGTACTTATAATGTGTTATGTTAACAATTCATAATGCATAATAAGCATGGCTATAATGTGTAATGCATTTTTATAAATATTTGTAGCCATGTTTATAATGCCTAAAGATGCCAAAAGATTTATGATCATTCTTCATCCCAAGTCTCAAGATAGGAAGAGATTCTCTAGAACGTCTCCATTAAAGGTTTGATACAACCTAGAAACACGATTTCCCGCTCAATATCAGAATACAGCAAAAAAAAAATAGTATGTAGAAAAGAAAGTCTCTGTGAGCACATAGACACCTGTAGCCTCGGGTTTCGAAATGATGAAAAACTTCATAAACAGCCAAAGTGAAAAGTACTAAACAAAATAGAATCCACTGCCTTTGATGATCAGCTGTTCTCTGATGTCGAGAGTTGGATCGTTGTACATTCTGTAGCCTATGTATAACAATTTAAGTAAGTTTATTTTATGTGAACTCTTTATTTATTTTCAGCTCGGTTTTGTCCTATTGAACACTTATATTAAAATTATGTCATTTTAAATAATTATATTATAAATATTTTATTAAATTTTAATGTTTATAACATTAAAATTTGCTGGAACACTGGTGTGTGTGGAAGACATCTGATATAAGACACCAAACAGAAGCTTAAATCGATCACAAACACACCTCAAATAAACACACTCACTGTGTAAGAACCCTCTCACTCCATCACACCAATCAATAACCAGCACAGAGAGTGAATAAGTGAGTGAGTGAGTGAGTGAGAGAGAGAGAGAGAGAGAGAGAGAGAGAATGAGTAAGTGATTGAGTGAGTGAATGAGGGAAAGAGTGAGTGACTGAATGGGTTAGTGAATGGGTGAGCGAGTGAGTGTGAGTGAAGGTATTTGTGAGTGAATGAGCAAGTGAAACAGTGAGTGATTGGGTGAATGCGTGGGTAAATGCATGAATGAGTGAGTGAGTGAATGAGTGAGAGATTGAATGAGTAAGAGAGTGAATGAGTGAGTGGATGAATGAAAGAGTGAGTGAATGAGTGTGTGAAAAAAGTGTGAGTGAGAGAGTGATTGAGTGAATGGTTGAGTGAATCAGTGTGTGGGTGAGTAAGTGGGTAAGTTTATGAGTGAGAGTGAATGAGTGAGCAAGTGAATGAGTGAGAGAACGAATAAGTGAGTAAGTGAATGAGTGAGAGAGTGAATGTGTGAGTGAGAGAATGAGTGTGTGGGTGAGAGATTGAGTGAATAGTGAGTGAATGAGTGAGGGTATGAGTGATTTCAAGAGTAAGAGAGTGAGTGACTGAGTAAATGAATGGGTGAATGGGATGAATAAGTGGGCGAGTGAGAGAAAGGGTGAGTGAGTGAAAGAATGACAGAGTGAGTGAATGAGTGAGTGAGCAAATGAGTGTGTCAGAGAGTAAATCAGTGGGTGAGTGAATAGATGAATGAGTGAGTAAGTGAGTGAATGAGTGAGAGAATGAGTGAAGGAGTTAGAGGCTAAGTGTATGAGTGAGTATGCGGGTGAGTGAGTGAAAGGGTGAGTGAGTGAAGGAGTGAGAGGATGAGTGAATGAGTGAATGAAAGAGTGAGAGGCTGAGTGAATGAGTGAGTGAATGAGTATGTAAAAGAGAGACAGTGAATGAGACTGAATGTGACTGAGTGAGTGAATGAATAAATGAATGAATGAAAGTGCGTTTGGACTTCTAGCATTTACCTGTGGATGTGTTCTACATACAGTACACTCTGAACAGTGAATCTGGCTTAATTCCATACTATACTTCTTTGCGCGTCTCTCCTTTCTCTCTCTCTCTCTCTCTCTCTCTCTCTCTCTCTCTCTCTCTCTCGCTCCCTCTCTCTCTCTCTCTCTCTCTGTCTGTCTCTCTCTGTCTCCTGGGTGTTGTCTGTGTTTCGGGGCACTGGGAGACAAGCTGTTTTGTCAGGAAGATCAGCCTACAAAGCAGCAGTGCTTTGATCAAGCCTTTGGGCAGTGGGCCATAGAGACACCACTGCACCACAGGAGGGGCGTGTGTGTGTGTGTGTGTGTGTGTGTGTGTGTGTGTGTGTATCCGTGCTGTTTGATGCTGAGAAATGCTGAATGTAGAATGAGAAAGAAAACATGGATCCTCAGCACATTAAAGAGTGCTAACAAGAACTGATCTATATAATCAGGACACTGAGTTACTTATCAAATGAACACTTTAACCTCTGCTATATTTAAGCAATAGAACACGAGAGGGATTGTGTGAGGAACCAATTCACCATTCAACAACCATTAAAGCATGGAATGTCTCTCATGTTTCTAAAAAGAACCATTCGCCTTTACTAAAGAACCCTTGAAGAACCATCTTTTAGGTGTGTAGTGATGCACCAAAATAAAAAATATTGTTGAAACTGTTGTTGAAAAATATTACATTTTTTATGGTATAGATCATAACTTCTGTATAAATTAAGGTGAAATGGAAAATTTGAAAAAGAAGTTTACTTTAGCTTCAACTTCAATACTTCAATTCATTGCCTTGGATGACCAACTGTACCCTGTTGGATTCCAGTTTCGACGACATTTTTCATTTCTATTTCAATTTTTATATATGTATATATATATATATACATGTAAATTCTTATATTTTAGCGCTTTGTTTTCGGGCTTTTTAACCTGTGTTAATTTCAGTCAAACACTCAGACAAACAAGACTTGGTGACATCCTGTATAAATAAAAATAATGCGTGGCCATGCCTTAGTAAGGCATGGGAACAAGATAATTAAGTCGTGGCCACAACTTAGAAAGGCATGGGAACGAGATCCTAAGGCGTGGCCAAGGAGATGTCACCAGGAGAGCCCCGAAGAGCCTCTCACTTACATGAAATAATCTAAAAAATACTGTTGTAAAACATAAAAAACACTTGATAAATTGATGATAATAAGCGCTGATTGAGAGATGATACAGTAATTTGTCTGTAGGATGTGAAGAGAGAGGTTTGAGTTGAGAGGTTTCTGACTGAGCTGATATCAGAGTCAGTGGAGTGGCTCTTGTGTTTGATCACATCTCTTCACATCTTCATAAACTCATCACTTCTCATTATGCAGCTGGCGCACACAGCTTCACTCATACAGACACCATGTCTCTCTCTCTCTCCCTCCCGCTCTCTCTCTCTGTCTTTCCCGCTTCTATGTTTTATTCTTTCTTCACATCTCTCTATCTCTGATTCTTTCTATCTTTAGGTCTAACACTTAATCGTTCTTTATCTTTCATTCAGTTGCCTCTCTTACTTTCCCCCTCTCTCATTCTCTTTACCTTGTTCTCTTCCTCTTTCTCTTTCTTCTTCCTCTGTTTTTTTTTCTACCACTCTTTCTGTCTCTCACTCATTCTCTTTCATCATTTGCTCCCCCTGTCTTTCTTTCCCCCTCATGCCTTTTCCCTTTTCTCTTTCTTCTCACTCTCTCTCACTATTTTTTCTTCATATTTCCTCATCTTCACTTATAGATAATTTTTCTTGCCTCTTTCTCAATCTCTTTCTTTCCTTTTCTTTCTCTTCCTCATTCTTTCTGTTACTCTTCCTCTAAGTTTCTCTCTTTCACTCCATCTCTCAGTTTTTTTCCATCTGATTCTTTGTAGCATCTCATGTGCTCTTACTTTCATTCGCTTTCCTCTCTTCCCTCATTCTCTCCTTCTACTCACTCTCTACTCTCTTGTTGCTTCTTTCCTGCTCTCTTTCATTCTCTTGCCTTTCTGTTTTTTATTCTTCTCTCTTTGTCATTCTTTCTCTTTTTATTTATTTCTTTTCTCCCTCCCTCCTCATCCTCCTTCTTCCCTCACCAAATATGTTTCTGCGTCTATATCTGCCCCTCTATTTCTGTCTTTCTTCCCCCCCATCTCTCTCTCGCTCTCTGTCTCTCTCTCTTGCTCTGTCTGTTTTTTTACAGTCAGTTTGGGGGTCATTATGTGGGCCGAGCTCAGGGATGTTAAGTGATCAGGGTGTCGCTTAATTTCTCTCGATTTTCTCGAGGCCACAAAGCCCTTAACAATCACCAAGAGATAATAAGCATGAAAACACTTTTCACATAGGATCAGCCACAGCTATTAGCACTATGAAAAATGTGAGAGAGAGAGAGAGAGGGAGGGAGAGGAGAGGTAAATGAGTTTAGAAACAGCTTAACCCTTGAAAATCACTGTCAATAAAAACGTATTTTAATTCTACTATAATGATTTCGCACATCCCCAATTGAAACAAGTGCAGAAATTCTGGTGAAAGTGCCGATTCTAAGCTTTCAATGTGTTTGTAATTAGGAGGGGGAGATATTTTGTTATTTCTTGATGAAAAATTGTTGAGAGTACAGTCTTAATGTGCAAAGACAAAACTTTGTTTCAGATCTGGTCATTTTAGTTAAAGGTCAAACGTTTATAAAGTCTGGGGTTAATCACTTGCAACAAAACGAACTGAAAGGGGTAAAAAAATGGCATTTGCATCTTACTGAGCCACGTTATTAATCATGTAATTATTTAATTACATTTAAATAGTACAGCCAAACAACTGTGACAACAGTAGACTCCATAGAGTTAAAGAGGAAGAGACAGATTGAGGAAGCGGGGGGGGTGCGAGGGGAGCATTGGGAAGTCATTCAGTGCGATGTAAAGTGATGGTGGCATGGCGTTGATAACTCAGCACGGCGGCTCGGCCGCCCGGGTGATTGGAGGTGTCTAGCGTTCGTCTCGAAGCTCCGTCACAGTGTCGGTCCGAGTGTTTACACAGCACACGCTGCGAAATGGCTGAGTGTTGACCCAGCCGGTGAAGACTGAGTGACAGACTAGCAGGAAAAAAAGTTGATTGAGTGAGTGAGACACGATGAGGGGACAACAGGAAGAAAAAAAAAGGAGAGGTAATGAGACGTTGCCGTGATGAACAAAAGGAGCGGGGCGGGGGAGGATGGGGAGAAATGGAAAAGGACAAGGAGAGGTGGACGGAGTTAATGCAGAGGCTGCAGAGGCTAAAGTAGGGATCTAGACAGTGGATGTCAGTTTTGGTGTGTGTGTGTGAGTGTGTGTGTGTGTGAGTGTGTGTGTGTTTTACCTTCACTGAACGAGTGTAGGAGGAAGGAGGAGAGGAGCAGCTTGGCCACCGTCATCCTGTCACCAGAACCTTCACTCCACATCACCTGCACCTTCTCCACACTGCAGCAAAACACAGAGAGAACACATCTTACCAATTCTGGCTTCATTACACTGGCTTATAGATTTTAATGTACTAATATTAGTTAGCATTTATTAGATTAACCCCTTAAATGGCCAGGGCCTGCCAGCGGGCTCAAAGTTGTATTATACACTACTATAACCTAAGAATAGCTCAGCCAGTTTGAACTGAAGTCCCTGTGGTTACTGAATAATGAGCCTTAGTATGTTATAAACCTGGGATTTTAAGGGGTTAAAGAGATTAAATAGAATAGCACTATCATTCTAATCTAGATTAGCACCATCATATTAATCTAACTTTCCACTTTGGCATCGTCTTTGTTAGTTTGCTGCTCGATGACTTGTCCATAAGTCTCCCAAAAGCACTGTCCAGCACAGTCAGCCTAAAGCAGGGGTCAGCAACACGCGGCTCTTTTAGTGCTCCACAGCAGAATTACATTGTTAGGTAAAAATAAAATAATCCTCCTTTGCAGTAAAATAAAGCTCTGCTGATCGTTCAACACACTTTTAACAATAAAAGCTCTTAAACACTGGAGTTAATGTAGAACTGCTAATTTTTACTTTAACCCTGAAGGTTGGCACACAGACTGCTGGTCACACAGCAACACAGACAACCTTGCCTTGCTAAAAAAAAGGCAAAGAGAAAGATTTAAGATGAACATTAATAATTTGGAGATTAATAGACTTATTTGCATTTATAATCACTCAGCTGGTTTCCTGATACGTTTAATCTGTAACAAAAAACCTTCAAACACTAAAAAGTCACAAAGCTGAAGTCAGCTTCTCGCTCAGCAGCTTCTCGTTAGAATTTTCACGTTCCACTTTAAATGGTGCAACAGTTAGCTACATAGTTAGCTACAATCTGGCACCTCAGGCATTTCAGGTAGAACGGGGAAATTCAAGCAAGAAGCTGGCGAATGAGAAGCGACTTCATCTATGTAAAAAGTCAAACGTTAAGAGACTATTTACACTAAACTATTCTCTTTTGTGGAAAAGTTTCCTGCCAGAGATGTGAGAAATGTTATAGCTGAGCTAAAGCTTAAAGCAGAGCAAAGTAAGTCTGTATTTTCATATATATTATATTTTTTAGTATATACTAGGACATTAGCACATACTAAGACATATTTACAGCCGAGATGGTAAAACGTTACTTCAATAAAATGCACATGAAATGCTGTGGCTCTCAAAATGGTTATATTTTTGTTAAAACTTGATTAAATGGTTCTTCTTAACATTTGGGTTGCTGACCCCTGGCCTAAAGGAATCACTTTAAAAGCCATTTAAAAGCTCTATTTGGAAGAGAGGTCTATAAGCATAGATTCTACATAGCATCACGAAGTGCACTAGAGCTAGGCCTCAACTGCACTACAGATCAAACTAAGAAAATGCCTTAATGAATAAAAACTCTCATTCATTTAAATTGCTGTCAAAATGCCAATTCAGTATGTTTGTTTTTCAGCATCAGGGAAAAAAGAAGAAAACACATTTAACAGAAAGTTACACACTTTAATTAGTCCACACTTTGCTTTCCAATCTTTTCAGGAGACTTGCTTTCAGTTTTTCAAAGAAATCTACAGGGATATTTTTCCACACCTCCAAAGTTCAGTCTTAGAAGTTGGTTGCATCCAAGTAATTCAAAACACATTCAGTGATCTCTCTCTCTCTCTCTCTCTCCTCTCTCTCTCTCTCTCTCTCATATACTCTTTCTCTCCCTTTCTTATCTTCCTTTCCTTTCTTTCAATCTCTTTCTATCTTCCTTCCTTCTTTCTTTCCTTCCAATAAATCTGCAGGGATACTTTTCCACACCTCCAAAGTTCAGTCTTAGAAAGTGATTGCATCCGAGTAATCTCAAACACATTCAGTGACATTGAGGTCTGGACTCTGAGGTGGTCAGTCCATTGGTCAGTCCACCAGCAGTTGTTTTTACTTTGTTTTATTTACTTCCTTATGCACTGAACTAGAAAGAACGTTAACCTCAATTTATGTGTAGAGCACTTTACAAAGGTTAGACCTGCTTTTCCTACAAGGTCAGGACATTTTGGTCCTGGACATGACTGCCTTTTCTCAGTAATTAGATCATTAGATCATTTACACAGAAGGTTGTATCACTAGGTATAAAATGCAGGTGAATCTAATCTTCTAGAATGAGTACGAGAAAAAAATGTGAACTGTCCTCCTCGGACTTCTCAACACAGTCAATGCTTTGTTCACTAAAAGCACCTTCAAAGACCTACACAAAGCTTTGGAGCGCAGACTATCACCTGAGGCGAGGGGTTTTATATCGACGCCATTAATGATGGATAAGGAATATGATTTATGCATCCAACTGAGTGACGAGCCAGAAGCTTTGGCTACTCACTGCGGCTAAAGAGGAAGATTTAGTTCATCAGGGATGTCTGCAGTCAAGACCAATTCCCCCGAGCCCCTCTAATCGTCTCGTGAGGCGTAACTCACTTTAAATGAAAACATGACGGATAAGTAAGCAAGCAAATGAGTAAATAAAGGTGTCTGAAGTGTGTTAACTATATTTGCAGGAGACCCGGTGTGACACACGATTTAATTAAGAGAACTGTAAGGTCGAAATTAATGATGTGTAATCGCGCTGAGTGCAACCTCTGTGTAATCAGGCTAATTACAGCAGTGGGACTGTTTGTTTGCTGCTACTTAGTGCTAATGTTGCAGAGATGGGGAAGCCATGGGGGAGAAAGTGGGCAGCGCACTACACTGCAATATTTAAACACTGAAATTTGTTTATTTTTATTTTGCCGGGGATGGAAAGTGACACTTTTTCCAATACCAATTCTAAAATCAATCCTATATATCATTTTATATAAATATATGTATTTAATGTTGGAATAAAAATAAATAAAATTAACAATGTGAGTAGTAATTTTACTTATGTTAATCTGTCTGTTTAACCATTTCCAAACTCTCCTCATGGCAGCCCAGTATTATTTGTAATAATCATCCAGTACCAGGTTTGGCTAATCAATACTTCATTATGTTATATCAAGTGTTCTAGTAATGTAATTTAACAAATCTATTCATTGCTTTTTAATGTATTTGCATCTATTCTAATAATATGTGGTGTTTTTACCAGCAAAAATAAACTTACTGTCAAGATACACTCTTAAAAAAGATGATTCTTCAAGGATTTTTTAATAAAGAAAATGTTTCTATATAGAAACATGAACACTCAGAGAACCCTTTGCGTGATTAAAGGGTTCTCTGCGTCATGAAAGCGTTCTTCAGATTGATGGAGAATGTGTTGTAGATGGTTCCATATACAGCCTTTTTGAAAAGGGTTCTGCTATTGTTACGATGTCATGTCTGTAACAATAGAGGAACCCTTTTAGTGCTATATAGAACCATTTTCAAAAAGAATCTATTTAGAACCATCTACAACACATTCTCCATCAATCAAAAGAACCCCTTCATGATGCAAAGAACCTTTTAATCATGCAAAGGGTTCTATAGAGAACCATTTTCTTTACTAAAGAACCCTTAAAGAACCATCATTTAAACAATGTGCTTAGGTGGCTAAGATTTTTGCACATTATATGTGTACAATTACAACGTCAATGTATGCAAAATTACACGTTTTACAATAAAGTTTTATATATATATATATATATATATATATATATATATATTTGCCAAGTGATATTTCTAGATATATCCAATTCAGCCTTTTTTTTCTCCTCAATTTAGCTTTGGTCATTTACACCCTCTAGTCAGGTCTTCCCCCATCACACAGTTCAACCAAGCTGTGAGGGTGAGGGATAGGATGTGCTTTCTCTGAGACCGTCTTTTCAAACTGCTGCAACGTCTTTGTCCGATGTCAGCATTTGCTACTTTTGCACTGGACAATGTTGGGGGGGAAAGGGACCACGGGGACTGAACTTGTGACAGGACCAATGTTTAGATGGTTGCACTACTCGGGAGTCCCCCAGTACTGCTCTTATCAGTTTCATATCAACACTGGGATTCTGCCTGGTGCCAACTGTAACATATATCTAAATCAAACACTATAAAAATTTTGGTTCAGTATTTGGGTACTCAACTAGTTTCACTGAGGCATCCACATTTACAGGTGCTGTTCAAACCCTTGTCATCTGATTATACTAATTAGTTTACCTTTGTTGCTGTAGAGTGGAGCTCACTGATGGAATTAGCTGGTGGTTGATCAGAGCTAGAACAAATCTCTTAATGACTCTTAATGAATCCATAGCAATAAATCAAGGAAAAACAATTAATTGTGACTTTCTCAAATCACAGAAACATTTTCCACTTATTCACCTCAGTGTCACTGCTGGGTTGAGAATAGTTCCCCAACCAGAAATATCCAGCAAAGAGCTTGGTGCTGAGAAATTGACCCCTGGTGAAGGACTAGAGCATGACTAACACACATTTTGCATCAACATATGGGCTGCAGCCTCTAACAGTACACCAGCAAGGTAGAGCTACAAAAAAGGGGTTTCTCATAAAGTGGCCAAGAAGAGTGTAAATAGCCCAGCAACACTGCTGCATCTAATCATACCAGCATCACTATTGTGCTGAGAATGGTCAACCACCTAAATAATAGGTGGTCCTTTTTCATTGATGGGCAGAGTGGGTGGGCTTGGCTAATAAATTATAAATAGCAACAGATGGGCTCCAGTCAGCGACTGTAAACCTATAATGGGCACCTATATTCTAGGTGTTTCTACTAAAAAGGCTAATGGGTGTAGGTACACGGTAGGTATTTCTAATCGACTAGCAGCTCAGTGTACATTATAATATAATGGTTTTATAGATCATAGAGGCATTAAAGGACTGAGGAAATGAGGAAGGTTGAGAATATGTTGTTATTAGGGCTGGGCGATATGGCCCAAAAATGCTATCACGATAAAAAATTTCTTCTATATCAAGTTTAAAGGCTGAATTTTGCTCCTGAGTGAAAGTTGAAGAAACGAGATGTTTGTTTTTACCTCATTTTGTCA